GGTGCTCTAACGAGAGGGGATACTTCGCGGTGTCCGAGAAGTGCAGCGACTTCTGTCAGGACGACCTCATCGACGACGATATCATGGTTTTAGATAACGGCACACAAGTGTTCCTATGGATGGGCTCCCGATGTAGTGAAGTGGAGCTGAAGTTGGGTTTGAAGTCGGCTCAGGTGTACGTACAGAATATGCGAATGAAACAGACGGACAGACCGCGGACTCTGATGGTGACCATGAAAGGCAAAGAGACCCGAAAGTTTCACAAATGCTTTCACGCCTGGAGTCACCACAAGTCGGTGTCCGACCCGCGACTCCTACTCGACAAACAAATGCTTTCAGTTAATGCTAACACTTCAACGAATGGTGTGATTACCGCTGATTAATACAATAGAGATTAAATAATTCAATTAGTAAATAAATAAATAAATTAAAATACATTACAAAATAATAATTATATATAAATTTAATAACATATTAATAAACAATCTTTAAAAACTCGCTTACAAACAAAAAGAAAAACATCCTTAGGAAAGATTGATTCCTTGTTTTCATTGTTTGTATTTAACAAATAGTTTTTTGATTAACAAAACGTGGAAAATGCAATTTTTAAAATATACTTAACAGGGAATTGAGCATGGTGGTTTTGTGTATATTTACCAATGGGCACCAATCAGGATTAAGCCCCTACCATGTAGACAATTCTCTATTTTTTAATACAAACTTCTAATTGTAATAAAATGTAAATTTTCTAACCGATAGCACAACCTATTTATACTGACAATCAATACAATGATTAGAAAATCATTTGACGTCACTTTGAATGATATGTTTCCGCAAAATATATCTTCAGATCTGAGATCTAAAAGCGATATTTTTCTCGCGTTTTGCGGCAAAGCGTATGATATGTTGTCGAGAGTGTGAGGAATGGGATCGTCGTATGAAATGCATTGACTCATGGATGCCATGGTGTGGGCCTGTAGTGCGGCCTCGATGTTCACCACTCGCATATCACTGATCAATCTCTTCATCCAATCGCTGATCCAAATGAGATCACAATCACAATTGAGTGGATTCTCGTCTAATAATATTCCGCCTAAAAATGCCAACAAAAAATGAATATCATTTTAATTACAGTAAGTGTTTATCACTGTTTTCGTCGAGAATAAAGAAATATTTTATTTTTCACAACATGTATAGTAAGTGTAAAGCATATATTAGTGCGGATTCTTTACCTAACATTTGCTGTGATTCCCAATTCTTATTCAATTTATTCTCAGACCTGACGAGAAAAACGTCTGGTTTTAACGATTTGAGTTTGTTTTTCCTCAAATCAATGGTAATGAAGCGAATGTCTGCTAAATATTTCAATAAACCGGACGGAAGTGAACTGATGTTAGTGTCCGTCACTCGTAGTGTCAGATCGTGTGTATTGTAAAGACCTGTTCACGAAATGAACAAAACAATGACAACAAACATAATTTCATTAGCAATATATAGCAAATTAAAATGTCATAGAAGAACATTATGTTAATTAAAAGCCGTATCAAATCCTATAATACCCTACGGGATTTGTGTGTAAGTTAACTAAAAAAGAAAACAACGCTTTTGTTATGAAAACAGTTTATCATTAATCATAAGTTTACAGCTAATGTATCTGTGCTCACGTAACTTACATAGTTGCTTACCCTTCTCGGGTTTGTCTGTAAACAAAGTATTAGTTGATATGAGAGAAAGACTAACCGAGAAAAGCGTCGGGAAGTATCTTAATTAAGTTTTTGCCAGTGATTATGAGTTCTTTGAGTTTGGGGGGTTTTCGGGTAACCTAAACTACCCTATTTCACCAGAGGACATGCAGTTAGTCACGTGAGGAATTACTTGAGCTAAAGCGATTATTTAGCACATTTGCCTTACTGGCTTGTAAACGATATGTACTCGACTTTAGCGATAATAAATACCTTAAAGAAATTTCATTAACATTTATTACATTAATCATTGAATTATTTTTTTGCTAAAGTTTTTTATCAGAATAATTAACCATAATTTTTAAAATAATTATTGTGTTTAGAGAACTAGATATTAATTAAGAAAATTTCAAACACAAATGAATTCATAAATATTTAATTATAGGAAATGTTAATTAAAGAAATAGTTTAGCAAATGAGGGCTTAAATGGAGTTATTTTTATGAGAAAGGTTTGGTTTTTCTAATTAATAAAACAATTTTAGGAATGTTTGATAGAAATGCAAGAATTCTGTCATTAAAAGCAAACAAACATTTGTGTTACTCTTCAGAAACAAACACAAGAATATTCTGTTTAATCCCCAGAAGAAAAGTGTTTGAAACAATATTTTCTCATTATTTTGCAAATATTTTCTCATAAATAATGCATTGAAAAGACACAAAAAACAGTGAAAGCTATTCATAAGTTAATTTGCAAGTCGTTGTATAATGTATTTTAAATCTGTTTTTATAAATAAAATATTTGTATAAAAATGCATTTAAAGATAGAAAAGAATTTCAATATAAGAATATAATACTTAAATAACTATTACTTTAGTACTTAATCTCAAGAGTATATCGTATAAACTCACCGATGATTGTGAAGGAGTCGAGTGTCAATGTATTGTAGATTAAGACCTCTTATGTCCAAATGGCGTAAATTCTTGAGCTCAGAGAAGCTGGAAGTGTCCAGAATATCGATCGGATTGTTTTGTATGAGAAGTGTATGCAATTTAGACATATATTTCCACAGATATCGGGGCACGTCTTGCAAGTGGTTATGGGATAAATCCAAGTGACGGATCTCACGGCACACAGTCATCGACTGGGGATCAATGGTGGCGATCGCGTTATGAGACACTTCCAGATGAGTGAGATGTGGCCACTGAAGTACAGGCATAGCCGTGAGACTGGCGTTATTGAGTTTCAAGCAATTCATATTCTGTGCGCCCATAATAAATGACTTGTTGTCAATACGTTTGATGGGATTGTGGCTGAAATCCATTTGACGCAAACTTATGAATTTGTGAGCGACTGAACGCATCGATAGCACCGATAGATCGTCGACGAGATTATGTGCGAAACTCACTTCAATTAGGTTTTCGCATGACATCACTTCAATGGGCGCTGAAGTCAAGTAATTATGCGATAAATCCAAATAAGTTAACGTTTCGGAGACACCCCAACAGCTATTTTCCGTATCGATTGCCGATATATTATACATCTCTGACTTAATTAAATGATTGTGCGATAAGTGTAGGCGAGAGATACCGGTGCCGGCGAACCCATTGACGGGCAATGTTTGGATATAATTGTGGGTCAAATCTAAAACTCTTAGATTCCGGAGGCGTTGGAATATAGGGACAAATTGTACTATAGATTGGATTCTGTTGTGTCGGAGACCTAACACTTGCAATTCGGTGACAAACGCCGTCTCGTTAGCGAAGTTCACGGTTTCAGTAATGAAATTATTGTTCAGCATTAATATCTGGAGCTGAGGGCAGAGTTGCAGTAAACGTATGGGAAATACAATCACTCTATTGTGGTTCAAATGTAACGAATGTAAACTCTGGCACATAATCTCAATGAACGCGTTGGGAATGTCTTGTATTTGGTTAAAGGATAGATCCAATACACGTACGTTCAGTGTTTGTATAGACTGATCACCACCAGAGACAACAGTGATGTTGTTTTCATCATAATTATTATTATCTTCACTATTATTACTGTTGGCGTATAACTGTTCGGACGGCTCTCCGACAGTACATCCACTCAAATGTTTGATCTCATTGTGCGATACATTAATATATAGGAAGCCTTTAGTGCCCATTGAGCCGAATATGTCCGCAGAGAAACATTTCAGTCGATTCTCATCGAGTAATAGGGAAAGGGATGGAGAGCTCTGCCCTAAACTGACGAATGCTTTCCATTCAATACGGTTTATAGAGTTTTTCGATAAGATTATTGTTTTCAATTTTGGCAAATCTTTGAATGCATTGCTTTCAATGGCGTGAATGTGATTGAGATAGAGTGCGATATTCTCTAAGAGTGGTAACCCATCGAAAGTGTGGGACTTGATTACCGAGAGTTGATTGCGGCTTAAGATAACAGAACTTAGATTAGCGCTTCCGGCAAACTCTGAGGAGATCTCTGCGATTTGATTGCTCTCCAAATCGCAATGAATTAATGATTTAAACGCATTCATCGCCAGCGAAAAGGGCAGTCGTTTGAGGCCATTGTAGTCCAGTTGAAGCCATTTGAGTGATGATAGGGAACCGATATCAGCGCTTTGGACCACTGGTCCGGAGTTGACATAATTGAGTGCATCGCTCAGCTCTAACACCTCGAGGGCGAGCATCGGTGTCAAGATGTAAGGGCTGGCGTGTAGTATGCGATTCCCTCCGAGACGTAATTCACGCAAATTCTTCGCGTGTCTGAACGCGTCTCCAGAGATATATTTGATGGCGTTTTTCGATAAACTCAATGACAACAGTGTTTGCGCCCAAACGCCCAAATCGTTGTCATCGACGCGAGTAATTAAATTATCGTAAAGACTTAGTCTCAGCAGCCGTTTGGTGGCCGCGAGAGCCCCGGCCGGCACCGACCGCATCAGGTTTCTCGACAGATCCAACACTTCCAGACTGTGGCTACAGTTTGCGAAAGAGTTGTCGTCCAAAGAGTTGATGCGATTATTTTTCAGCAATAGTTGGCGAATGTTTTGCAAACTTTTTAACGCATTGGGAAAGGAATCGATTAAATTATAATTTAAATCTAAGGCTTTGAGCTCATGGATGAGCGGACCATCAAATGCCTGCTCTGATATGAATTGAGATGCGATACGATTGTTAGATAGGGATAACCGCTCGCACGACATGTGCCCAAACAGACCGCTCGGAAGAGATTGAATGAAATTGAAGTCTAAATGCAAATCCATTATACGAACGGTAGAAGAAGTAGAAGAAGTGTTCACAGTATTGGCTGTCGAATACTTTAAAGCACTGGCACTCCAGTCCCTGCCATCCCTGCCTTCCCTGTCCTCCCTTTGCTTCTCCTGTTTTTTGTGATACTTAAGCGGATTATTAAGGTTTTCGATGAGTTGTTGTGCAGAGAAAGCGAAAACATTGTCAGTAATCGTCGAAATTAGATTATGGCTTAAGTCTAACATTTGTAAGTTTTGTGTCGCGAATTTCATGTGCGGTAAGTGACGGATCAAATTGCCTCTCAATTGGAGGATCTGAAGGTCGCGAAGATTGGCCACCGATTCGATGGGCACCTCTTGTAACAGACAGTTAGACATCGATAACGTAATCAATGTGGACGGGAATGGCGTCCCCTCTAATCGGCTAATCATATTGTCATCTAAATCGAGAAATTCAAGACTCGAGAGCTCTGTAAACGTGTTGTCGTGTATAACTGATAGAGAATTGTCACTTAAAAGCAAACTTCTCAATGATGTTAAGTCACCAAAATCTCTGGACTTGAGTTGAAGCTAGGCTAAACTAGACTTTGATTCGGTAACTTCAGCTACGTTTACCTGATTTCGGCGCCGCCCTTTGAGAGCATTGAGTGACATACTGTCGAGGTCTCAACAGTTGCAAACCAGGTGTGGAAAATGTGCGAAGGCTTGCGAATCGATAGCTGAGAGCCGGTTCCGCGACAGCACCAGACTTGACAGCGATCGCACTTCAGCCAAGTCTCGGCGCCCGATCTGTGCCAAGTCTGGGGCGCCTATTATACGGATCCGATAGAAGTGGCCGTTGTTTGGCAGTTCGCTAAGCCGTACGTTTACGCCAAGACATGTCACTTCAGACAACTGTGAGGTATAGTTTGAACAGAAACACAGTCTATTGAATTCGCATACTGTCTGTGCGCTCAGAATCGGACCCGTGTTTGCGTTGAGCAGAATATAATGCATGTATAGAAAGTGCAATATTCGCCTCACATTAACGTAGAGATATCCTTTCCTTAGTTTTAACATCGTGAAAAAACGAATATAAAATATTTATATCAGTATTTCACAGCCTTATAATCCGTTTCCTAATGAATAACAGCGTTTTTACAATTTTTACTCTCAGTTATGCGTTTAAGGGATAAAAGAGCAAAAAAGTCAAAGCGCTCTAACAATCTGTGCGACAGAAAAAAATTATTTGACTCAAAATGCCATTAGAATTGGTTTTAAAAGTAACTTAAACACTTATTACCTCTCATTTCAATGCTATTCACATAACTTATATGTCATGTCGTTTTCCGTGGGTTTGGATAGCAAGGGGAGAATGGGATTGGGATGAGAATGAAAGAATGACAAATTGAAGTTATCAGAGCATTTCATAGCTATAGAAACAGTAGGTTTTTTGTGAATAAAATTAAAACTACTTATGCTATCATGGTAAAATTTATATCAAGCATAGATCAAACATTGGTACACAAGTCGTGCTAACCATCGGGTCAATGGGAACTACCGTTCCCTCAGCGCGCGCTCTAAAAATAAAAATATCGTTTCATAGCTTTAGAAACACTTTAATAATACTGAAGAAAAATTTAAATTACAATAGAATTAAATATATTAAAAGTCTATTTTGTTTCCCTTTTTCAAAATCAATTGGAAGACACGTTCAGTCATCGAGTTTATCAAAGTTTGAATATAACTTTGAGGCATTTCCTCCCAAACCTTTTGAACCGCCAGTTTCAGCTCATTTATCGACTGATATTGTCTTCCATTAGGGTAAACAAGTCTCGCCATATAACCCCAGACGTTCTCAATGACATTGGCTTCGGGTGTGAGTGCAGGCCATGGCAGTGTCTCAATGTTATTGGCCTTAATAAAGGAGTCGACGACTTGTGATCTATGCACTGATGAGTTGTCCTGCTGTAAAATCCAGTTATTGCCGGCTATTTGGTCACCAAAAGGAAGTAAATATTGTGCCAAAATGTCTTTGTAATAATTGCCGTTCAAATTCCTGTCCAAAGTGACTAATAAAGTCCGGCTATTGTATCCAATGCCGGCCCATACCATAAGACTTCCACCGCCGGCCACTCGTTTGGAGTAATACTTTGGTTCTTTTCGTAAATCGTGCCAATAATACTTGAAGCCGTCCGGACCGTCAAGATTGAACTTTTTCTCGTCAGTGAATATGACATTTCGCCACTCATTAGTCCAACTCATGTGCTCTTTGGCCCATAACAGACGTCTTTCAATGTGATGCGGTTTGAGTGCAGTTCTCGCCACTAATTTTCCGAAATTAATATTTGGCGCTTTGTTGCAAACCCTCCAAATCGTGGTTTTGGATGCAGACAATCCATTAGTCACTTTAACGCCATTCAAAGACATCGAAGGTTTGGTTATATCTTTCAAAACCACCCGTTTCTCTCTTTCTGAAAGCACTGGTTTCCGTCCATCCCTATAATTGTGGCCATAATTCTCCGGATCGTTGAGATATGCGGACACAACTTTATTAGACCTCTTAATTTGTCGTCCAATCTTTCGGGCTGACCAACCAATGGACTTGTAGGCCATGATCTCACCCTTTTCAAAGTCATTCAAATACTTTGCTTTTGGCATGTTTTCGGACAAAAATCCAAACAAAACAAAAACAAAAACATTCGAGTGTGTATTTTAGACGCGCGTGCTATAATGTAAATGACTATTATTGCAGTTTTTATTGTTAAACTATTAATAATACATGATTTATTAAAGTGTTTCTAAAGCTATGAAACGATATTTTTATTTTTAAAGCGCGCGCTGAGGGAACGGTAGTTCCCATTGACCCGATGGTCAGCACGACTTGTGTAATAATGTTTGATCTATGCTTGATATAAATTTCACCATGATAGCATAAGTAGTTTTAATTTTATTCACAAAAAACCTACTGTTTCTATAGCTATGAAATGCTCTGTAACATAAAAAATAGGGCTCAATGTTCAAGAATCGGCGTTCACTTCATTGATTACTAAGTATTGTTATATAATATTTCTAACTAACAATTGTGTGCAAAACGCTATTTGTCAGCAGCTGTTGAATGAATTGTGAATAATGGAGAGTAAAGTTACGATAAGTGTATTGAATATACAGTACAGCAAAAGGCACCCAAACCTATCGTTCCCCTCTTACCCTAACCCTACTCTTACTTTCTTACTGTTTAACTTCAATAACATAAAAAATAGGGCTCAATGTTCAAGAATCGGCGTTCACTTCATTGATTACTAAGTATTGTTATATAATATTTCTAACTAACAATTGTGTGCAAAACGCTATTTGTCAGCAGCTGTTGAATGAATAACATAAAAAATAGGGCTCAATGTTCAAGAATCGGCGTTCACTTCATTGATTACTAAGTATTGTTATATAATATTTCTAACTAACAATTGTGTGCAAAACGCTATTTGTCAGCAGCTGTTGAATGATTTGACACAAAATGATTACTTTATACACAAAACGGTTAGAATCTAATGACTTATATAACGAAATATTGTTTCACAACAACTCTCTATTTCATGAATTCATTTAATAGCAAAAGCATTTCATTCAAATAATTGCATAATCAATGATAAATATTGTTTGGAAAAATATATTTTAAATTNCACAAAACGGTTAGAATCTAATGACTTATATAACGAAATATTGTTTCACAACAACTCTCTATTTCATGAATTCATTTAATAGCAAAAGCATTTCATTCAAATAATTGCATAATCAATGATAAATATTGTTTGGAAAAATATATTTTAAATTCTTCGTGTTTTAAAGGAATATATTGTGAAATTAGGATTTTTTATTTGAATTTAAATCAAATAAAAAATATTCTGATAATTATGTAAATAATTTAAATTAGAATATGTTTGAAAATTATATACAAAAAAATTGTATGAATTATTCAATACAAATGTTATGTTTATATAATTTGCTTAAATTATTTGCAATAACAAGAGAAACTTAAAAGCATCTCTTTTTTGCCGATTCTAATGAATATAATTATGTGTTGAATAATGTAATAAAAATTTTGATTTCAAATATTTTGAGTGAGTTTTTTGTTAGTGTATTATATGTTTTAAAATCGTTGATATTTTTATATTTAATTCAAATTCTGGGTTTCAAAAAATCTTTTAAAGTATATTATAAAACACAAAACGGTTAGAATCTAATGACTTATATAACGAAATATTGTTTCACAACAACTCTCTATTTCATGAATTCATTTAATAGCAAAAGCATTTCATTCAAATAATTGCATAATCAATGATAAATATTATTTGAAAAAAATATATTTTACATTCTTTGTGTTTTAAAGGAATATATTGTGAAATTAGAATTTTTTATTTGAATTTAAATCAAATAAAAAATATTCTGATAATTATGTAAATAATTTAAATTAGAATATGTTTGAAAATTATATACAGAAAAATTGTATGAATTATTCAGTACAAATGTTATGTTTAGATAATTTGTTTAAATTATTTGCAATAACGAGAGAAACTTAAAAGCATCTCTTTTTTGCCGATTCTAATGAATATAATTATGTGTTGAATAATGTAATAAAAAATTTTGATTTCAAATATTTTGAGTGAGTTTTTTGTTAGTGTATTATATGTTTTAAAATCGTTGATATTTTTATATTTAATTCAAATTCTGGGTTTCAAAAAATCTTTTAAAGTATATTATAAATGATTTTATATGAAATTTTTATTTAAAGGATAACGAAATCATGGGATAAAAACTCTGTTTGAACTGCATTTGGGAATTGATGTCACATTAGAGATAAGTGAAGAATTTGAAGACATTGAACAACCATAAGAAGCTCTCTCTCTCTCTCTCTCTCTCTCAAAGCATGAATCCCATAGAGAAAGACAGAGTTCGTGAGAAGTTTACACAATAAGAGTCCTCATGTAAGACACAATTTTGTCTCCAAAGTCTATTTTTATAGAAATTTACAAACATTAAGAAATTTATCTTAATATCAATTGTAAGAACTTTTCTGCGAAACTTTCAAAGAATTGATTTCAAGTACCAGAAGATTAGTTTCTCGGTATACATGTTGTGTGCGATTGAATTGAAATTGTGTTCCCATTTGTATGTTTGAATAGTTTTGCAAGAATTAAACATTTCATTCATTATACACATCACTTCACATATAATTTGAATTCATTACAAACGGAATTTCCATTCAAAAGGAATTTGCATTCATTTGTCAAGAATTGGCTTTAAATGACTCCAACGGCTGGAAAAGCTTTCATATAAAGGATTTATTTAATATTTTCAGTGAATATATATTTTCTTATATCTTCTATGAGTTTATCAAAACATAAATCTTAATATTTTATTAATTGAATGACAAATAAATGAAATGTAAGTCAATTTCTATTCATAAACTTAAGTCCTATAAATTTTTACAATTAATTTTGATGTCTTAAAGGGTATTAAAGGAAATTAATTTATTCAAAACAAAATCCAATTAAAATTTAAGACAAAGGCTTAAGAATTGGCAAACATTTTCCTAAACACTTTATGTGACAATACAAATGACAACTATTTGAAAATTATGAATAATATCTGTATTTATCAATAGCTGTACAACACATAGACATGCGTTGAGGCCATACATCAAAAATTATATATGAATATAATTAAGCGCTTATTAGCGAAAATGATTTATTATATGCAATGAACTAATTAAAGGCATAACGAGTGAAACGAGTGATTAAATGAATCGACCGGAGGTTTTGTGTGTGCGGTCGAGTGAAGAGGATTATTGGTTTCATTTGTATCAATAATCACTATAAAGACGTTTTGATATCTCATACCGTTATTATCGATAACAGCGAAGAATTACTCGCATTTCATGTAAACGTATTTCTGAGTCGATTCCTACCAATGAAGGCAACAATCTTTTGCTTACAAAATGTAATACTCTTTCGATTTTTGTTTCGATTTAGCAGTACTTCCAAGACGTGATCCGACGACTAATAAATTGCAATACACTCTACAGTATTGTGCACTCCATAAGACACAGCACAGCCCTACCATTGCCTACAATTGCCAACCGCTCCACTGGGAAATTCTAGCTTTACTTTTGGCTGAGCACTCGTTTTCGGTGTAAACACCAAACCATTCTCTCTCTCTCTCTCTCTCTCTCCTCATACCTTATTGCCCATAACTACCAGTCCTGCCAACACTATTCTTGCCTATCCCTCTATCCCTCCTCAGCCATCATTGGCTTTTATTCTAGTTATTGTCAATTTTACCGAATCTGTTAGTAATCGATATATTTTTAGTTGACTTTTGTTCACTATTTTCTCTCATCGTATATATGATAGCAATCAGTAATACTTTTGTGAAGAAAAACCTTTTTTGTATCAGATTTTCGTTTATGTAACACAAATACATTGTATTGAGAAATTGCTTTCAATGTTATTAATCGTGTAATAAATACATTGAATGAAATAAAGTTTTTCTATGCGGCACTTGAACTATACAAGTAAACAATATGACCCAAAATTCAATTATTTATAATTATTTTAGGCATATTTTTGCATATAATGTGCATTAGATTAGGTATAAGTTCGGTATCGATAGGAAAACTCATAAATGTATAAATGATTGCCTTAATGTTGAAGGAATCGGCGAAATACTTGATGTTATACTCGTTCAGCGAAATGATGTATTAGAGTCTATCAATCATACGTTAAGTTTCCGTTTCTCCCAAAACACAACACAAACAGTGTCATCACTTTCTCTCTCTCTCTCTCTCTCTCATATAAGAAAAGCATTAAAAGATGTTGTTTTTCATCACATTTCTTGTCTTATCTTTTTGTTTTATTATATCTCATCTGAAGTATTAATTCTCTCTCTCTCTCTCTCTCTCTCTCTCTCTCTCTCTTAATAAGGCTTGAGATATGATTTACAGAAATAACATCGAAAATAATGTTTTCCTCATTAAACTGGAGACACATTTTTCCGTTAAATTATTATTGAATTCTTTGAAAAACAAATACATTTTTATGGATAAAAGTAAATTTTATTATAAGGAAGAAGAATCTAAAGTCCATTAAAATTTAAAGCAGAGATCAAAAGTTTGATACTTATATATTGAGATAAAATGAGAAAATATCATAAAAAAGTATTGAGAATAACGTTTGGAATAAATTATAGTATTATTTGAAACACAAAGAAATGCTTTGAATACTCAACGAACCGAATCTCGATTCGACTGCATCTGAATATTTGATACAAATATAAACAGAATATTCGGCATATATATCATGGCTTGTATTATAGGGTGTCAGCGCTTTCTTACTATTTGCTTGATCTCTCTCTCTCTCTCTCTCTCTCTCTCTCTCTCTCTCTCTCAATATCATGGCTTGTATTATAGGGTGTCAGCGCTTTCTTACTATTTGCTTGATCTCTCTCTCTCTCTCTCTCTCTAAACTTGAAATTGTATTTGTTTGAAAATATTTTTGTTTCCGAATTTTGCTCTAAAAATGTTATAACTTTTTTAAAAAGTCAAATATTTTTCAGATCGAAATGTTAACAAAAATATATGTGCTTTTATGAGATATAAAAGTTTTATCTTTATTGAAAATTCTCAAAATTAACTCATCTGTGAAATTGATTATTGAAATCAAATTTATTTATTTTTGTGTCTACAGTAAAGACCAAATTTTACTGTTTATACAACAGTAGTTGTATTCAACAAATTTTCAGTATATAAATCATATTCGAAAAGTTTTTCTTAATAGAGATATCAATTGTGAGTTCATTCCCCTCTTCTGTCATGTCTGTCAACTAACATAAGTTATAATGTGTTCATTATTAGAATATTAATAATATTATATTATATTATATTTAATTATAACTACAGATTATATATATATATTCAATTTGCTTAAATTGATTGGACAGACATTAACCACTCAATTGAAATATGGGATCAAATATTATCTCTCAATGAATATAAGCTCATAAATGAACAAAAATTATAGCGATTGCTGTAAATGTAATCCAAATTCTTTTGTCTTATGAATGTTTGACTCATTTATTCATTAATGACAGGAATTGGATAATAGGAAAATACCAGCGCTTAGGGGTTCACCGTTTTCATCGACAACATTCCCCTCTTTATATAGGAGAGAGAGAGAGAGAGAGAGAGAGAGAGAGAGAGAGAGAGAGATGTTTGCGGAAAAATATACTCAAATTTATCCCTTTTATCATTTGTTTGGATTTCGTATTTTCTCTTCTTTTTTGGTGCATTACTTAATCAATGAATAGATATTTTTAGTTGAATTCAAAAATAGCTTTAAATGCATTGATTTGCTGTCAATGCAATGAAAATGGTTTTATTCGCCGCACGTGTCGACAGAATTAGAGGACAGAGAGAAGAGAGGGAATGAAGACACGAATAAATGAATGCCACTCTTATGTCACTCAACACTAAACCATTTGCACATCGCTTACACTTCCATACAATCGTACAATAGTTACCATAATATAATTGTCGTCTTATATATCGTGCGCTTCATTGAACCCGAATTCACTAAATGCAGTCTCTTTAGTGTCTTTTAGTCTAATAAATGTCTTATTCTTATATATCAATGATTTTATTTAATAAATACTATTATTAATCGTCTATTAATTACATAATAAACTATTGTCATTGATAGAAGACAGTCTGAATTAATATTAAGTTACAAACAATATTCAATTAAAAAACTAAGTCTCTCTCTCTCTCTCTCTCTCTCTCTCTCTCTTTCTTTCTCTCTCAATTAGTTCACATTTTAAATAATAATGTCATTATTCAAAAGATAATAATATTCAAAATATAAAATAATAACTATAGTATAGAATATAATAAAAGTATATCGGGGTTAAGACTATGTATTGCAAACAATATGCAATATTTTATTGTTTAAAACTTTATTGTTATGGCATTTAAATTGACTCGATATATATTGAGTGTTTGCGATAATTTAAAGATGTCGTAAATTTTTATAACTTGTGTCATACGATTATATAAATTGAGTTTGACAAAATAATGACAAAAACATTAAAGCTTAATTTAAACTTAAATTAAAAATTAGCCCAACTATTGTATATCACGTTTAGTTTGACAGAAATAAAAAGTTATAAAATTTATATAAGAAATATGTTTTGTTATATATTTGACAAATTGGTTACAATATTACAGAAAAATATATGAAGAAATGTTTTGTGAAAACAAAAGAAAATTTAATCAAATGACTCACCGCTGGTCTTCTTCTACACTAGATTTTGATCACAAAATAAGTCGGATTTGATATTTAGTAACATTAATGTCTCGTTTGATATAAACGAAAGCGAATTACTTTAAGTGAGACGACAGACAGTATATCAAAGCCAAAGACAGCCGCTTTCAGGCGAAGGCATCCAACCTTTACTTTGACTTCACATCTCGATCTGTAGTCCCCTCTCATCGCGAGGTTTGCATCTCTCACTTGAGTCGAGCGCTTAGAGCACAGGGAGTATAGAGAGTGTAGCGAATAGAGCGTACTGTAAGAGAGTTGTGAAGAGAGCTCGAAGGAGAGAGAGAGAGAGAGAGAGAGAGAGAGAGAGACTGCCCAACCCCTGCACATCCCAAACATCACTGCACTTTACTTCACGACTTATTCTTGTTTTTGTGTAGCATTTTTGACCAAATGTTGAATTAAATGACAATGTTTTGATAGATTCCTATAGAGAGAGAGAGAGAGAGAGAGAGAGAGAGAGAGGCAATCGAGACAACATTGGCTACAATTCCGGTGTTTGCATTAGCCCTCAGTCTGTGGTGTTTTGCAACACTTTTTTCGGGGGATTTTTCATCTCAAAACATTTCATGTAATCATTTAAATCAAAACCAGTCCATGAATTGAACGCTTGAGACCAATAAAAAAGTTTTGTTGCAATCAATTGAAATGCCAAAGCATTGAATGAAAACATAACATATTATTCAACAAAATGTAATTTTTTAGATGAGATAAAAATTCCGATCAAAACAATATATCAAATAAAATAAACTTTTGGGAAATATAGGGATTTTGTTAAACACAAAAACTAATCAATACATCACAAACCGCTGCCTCTCCCCGACTGCCCAACCCCTGCACATCCCAAACATCACTGCACTTTACTTCACGACTTACTCTTGTTTTTGTATAGCATTTTTGACCAAATGTTGAATTAAATGACAATGTTTTGATAGATTCCTATAGAGAGATAATACAATATACAGTACATTAAGGTAAGTGTTATGTCAAATGAGTGAATAATTCATATGATTGTCCGACACATTCAACGATCATTAATTAATGCACTTTTTATTTTAGTAGTATTTCTGTCAAAATCTTTTTATTTCCTATTTTTTTAGTTGATTAAAATTGAATATAAAATCGAATATAATTTATATTCTTAAAGTATATCATATATAAGGAGTATTTAAAGGCAAAAATGTGTGAATTAAGTTCATTTTCTATTAGCAAATTCATTGAATGCCTGTGCGATTGAGTCAATCCAAATGGAGACGGCTATAGCGCCCGGATCTGGTCTCGCGATTGAGGCCTTATTAACATACGAAGCTCTGCCAACGTTGGCACTCATCGACGCCGTGCTCTCTGTATAGAGAAATGTGTGTGAATTTCAATGCAAATCAATTCAATGTATTTTTATATAAAATGCAAATTTAATTTTTAAGTAAATCTCTAATACCGGCGCCTTTTTTAGCGCTCTGTGCAACCAATTTGGCGATTTGATGATAAGCCACGCTATGATCACACTTTACCAGCGCTTCGTGTGCGCTATTCAACGAATCTGTATTTAACGGGGAGAGAGAGAGAGAGAGAGAGAGAGAGAGAGAGAGAGATGTAAATTGAGAATAAATTAAAAGTTTTGTCATTAAAAGCCATACAAACCAAGCATTGATCGATCGCCAGGTTTTGCAAAACTGTATTGAGTTATAGTTTGCAAACTATATTTAATGACATCTCTCCACAAATCGATGTAATCATACGAACGGTCTATTCGTTTGACATTCGCCCGAATGGCCTGAGAGGCGGCCGTAAACATGAGGCTATATATGGCACCGGAAGTGCCGCCCATATTGGCCTCACAGAAGTGAGACAACTGGAAGAATGATGGCTTCAGTTGTTTCTCTTTCGTATAAATATTGATTAATTTATTTTATAAAATATTTTCAATAATTAATGATTACCTGTTATTAGTTTAAGCAACAGTTTTGAAGCCCCGCTTAATGTGGACCCGCAGTCTCCGTCACCTAATTCTGTGTCCAATTCGTTGAGATGTTTTTCAGACGATATCTAACGAAATAAAACTGATTTTTATTAATGAAATTAATATTTTTAATCACAATTCAGATATGAATAATATGGTTATATTATCGTGCTAAGTCTATGGAACTCATGTTAAATATGTAGCTAGAGCTAATCTATTCTTTGAGCGTCACTCGAATTGTGGTTAACGTATAACATCGCTGTTTGAACCTTGTTTTCATTAAAAATCTGTTATTTAGTAGTCGTTCAATAGTTAATGACTTTTTAAGCTTATATTCAATGCAAGAAATGATCACAAATCAAAATTAATAGTTAATCGTATTTGAGCATGATTATAAATAAAACTGTTTGTTTGACAACTTAAACCTGGAGGCAGTGTGTTGTGCAAAAAATGATCATGGCATTGTTTGAAAATGAATAACATCTTTCAATAATTTATAAATATATTGCAATAACAGTGGAATCCTATCATAAATTCAGTTTATATGTTCTCATAAACGACTTATAAAACACTATTTCATAAGTTATGATCGCTTTTTGTATCAAAATATTTTTATAGAGAAAAAGAGTTAGTTTTATACCAAAGCTTTACACGAGAGCTCAATAGCCCTCACAAACAACTCTCTGCCAAACTTAAGTCCATCGATGGTCTCGTAATCCGGTGTCTCATCCTTTGGACTGGGATTCGGATTCTGCAAAATGACGGACCGATTGAGCACTTTTGGTGTATTCAGGAGTTGTGTCCACGCGCTCGATGCGGACGGACTGTCCAACAGTTGAAGTATGCGGTCGTCGACTGCCATCGCTGACAACGAAACGCCAGACATCGAGAATGATGTCATAAAACATCCCGAATATATCCGTTCGACGCATAGCTTTCGTGTCTGTAATTGATTGACAGTCTCTTTAACTATTATGTTGAGCTCAAACAGTGAGAGTCCGCCCGTATTGTTGAGCAAAATGACAATTCGGTTGTTATGTCGGCCTATCGTGTCGTTGAGCAGCGATGAGCGGCCGACCAAATGGTTGAGCATAACGTCGACCACATCGCGAGCTGAACACAGTTTCAATCGCTCGACACCAGCCTCTCCGTGCACTCCCAGACCCAACTCTAACATATCGTTAGCCAATGTGAAAGAACTGCCCAAACCCGGGATATTCACGCAATTTAGACTCACAGAAATGGTGCCGATTTGACCGCAATACTCTTCGAGAGCCGTTTTAATTTGTTTTGCTGTCTTCTTCTCTTCGGCCAAAGCGCCGGCTATTTTGTGAATGAGTGAAATGCCGGCCAATCCTCGGCGACCGGCCTTTTTTCCTTTGCCATAAAAGGCCACGTCTTCGCCGAAGATAAACATTTCCACTTTATATCCCTTTAGCAAAGCGTGCTCTCGGGCTAACCCGAAGTTAAGCCGATCGCCCGTATAGTTGGCGACTATAATAAGTAT